AGCATCAGCAGAAAACGACCTTTCTGTGAAAACTGTGAATTATTTGCCAGCTCACTTTGAATTCAGCCTCTGTGGTCCTCAGCTGCTGTAAAGCAATGTGGCTCAAGATCTCTCTCTCTCTCTCTCTCTCTGAGGCCCGGTGGTTGAGTGGTTAAGGCATTGGATTACAATCCCAGAGGTTGTAGATTTAAGTCTTGCTCGATTTCATACTCCAGTTCATGGAGCTGCAAAATTGGGTATCTGATCTATAGGGTGAGGGAAGTCAAAGGCAGCCAGACATGATGCTAGTCACATCACTTCCTTGTGTATGGTTGGCTATGGAAACTAATGTGTTGGAAACTGCATTAACCTGGTGAGCCGTGTGAGGCAAACTTTGACTCTTGCTGTCTCTCTGTAATTCTCTGGAGCATCACATTACTGCATCTTACCTCGTCCATGCAGAACTCCTGAAATTCCCACGAGGCTCAGAGTGTGCTGAGGCTTGAGTTATGAGAGGCAGGTGTCACATGTTCAGTATTCTCCCCTGTAAAAATGAAAATATTTACTGTTTGAAAATTCATTGGCCCCACTCTGCCCTTTATGCAAGTGGCAAGGGGATATTTTCCCTAACCCAGAAGTCCAAATGTAAGCAACTAGATGCTGCCCCTAGCCTAGCTGCTGGTGGTGGAATGTGGTAGAAATCCCAGTTCCTGCAAACACTTATGCATCTGCCTGACAAAGGTGAGAATGGGCCCATTCACATGTGCCAAGGTGGGGTGTTTGCAAGATAAGGGTCTTGACTTGTAAATTCTTTGAGGAGATGTTTCAGAGTAGCAGCCCTTTTAGTCTGTATTCGCAAAAAGAAAAGGAGTACTTGTGGCACCTTACAGACTAACCAATTTATCTGAGCATAAGCTTTCGTGAGCTACAGCTCACTTCATCGGATGCGTAAAGTGGAAAGTACAGTGAGGAGATTTTATATGTACACACAGACCATGAAAACATATACATTGTAAGGAAAGTGATCACTTAAGATGAGCTATTACCAGCAGGAGAGTGGGGTGGGGGGAGAGAAAACCTTTTGAAGTGCTAATCAAGGTGGGCCATTTCCAGCACATTTCCAGGAGTTAACAAGAACCTCTGAAAGAAAAGGAGTACTTGTGGCACCTTAGAGACTAACCAATTTATTTGAGCATGAGCTTTCGTGAGCTACAGCTCACTTCATCGGATGCATACCGTGGAAACTGCAGCAGACTTTATATATACACACAGAGAATATGAAACAATACCTCCTCCCACCCCACTGTCCTGCTGGTAATAGCTTATCTAAAGTGATCATCAAGTTGGGCCATTTCCAGCACAAATCCAGGCTCGTTCACCTGCACATCCACCAATGTGATATATGCCATCATGTGCCAGCAATGCCCCTCTGCCATTTACATTGGTCAAACTGGACAGTCTGGACATAAAAGAATAAATGGACACAAATCAGATGTCAAGAATTATAACATTATAACATTCATAAACCAGTCATAATTCATAATTCATAATTATAACATTCATAAACCAGTCGGAGAACACTTCAATCTCTCTGGTCACGCAATCACAGACATGAAGGTCGCTATCTTAAAACAAAAAAACTTCAAATCCAGACTCCAGCGAGAAACTGCTGAATTGGAATTCATTTGCAAATTGGATACTATTAATTTAGGCTTAAATAGAGACTGGGAGTGGCTAAATCATTATGCAAGGTAGCCTATTTCCCCTTGTTTTTTCCTACCCCGCCCCCCCCAGATGTTCTGGTTTAACTTGGATTTAAACTTGGAGAGTGGTCAGTTTGGATGAGCTATTACCAGCAGGAGAGTGAGTTTGTGTGTGTATGGGGGTGGGGGAGTGAGAGAACCTGGATTTGTGCAGGAAATGGCCCAACTTGATTATCATGCACATTGTGTAGAGAGTTGTCACTTTGGATGGGCTATCACCAGCAGGAGAGTGAATTTGTGTGGGGGGGGGTGGAGGGTGAGAAAACCTGGATTTGTGCTGGAAATGGCCCAACTTGATGATCACTTTAGATAAGCTATTACAGCAGGACAGTGGGGTGGGAGGAGGTATTGTTTCATATTCTCTGTGTGTATATAAAGTCTGCTGCAGTTTCCACGGTATGCATCCGATGAAGTGAGCTGTAGCTCACGAAAGCTCATGCTCAAATAAATTGGTTAGTCTCTAAGGTGCCACAAGTACTCCTTTTCTTTTTGCGAATACAGACTAACACGGCTGTTACTCTGAAACCTGTCAAAAGAACCTCTGAGGAACAGTGGGGGGAGGGGGGGAGGAATAAACAAGGGGAAATAGTTTCACTTAGTATAATGACTCAACCACTCCCAGTCTCTGTTCAAGCCTAAATTAATTGTATCCAATTTGCAAATTAATTCCAATTCAGCTGTCTCTCCTTGGAGTCTGTTTTTGAAGTTTTTTTGTTGAAGAATTGCCACTTTGAGATCAGAAATCGAGTTACCAGAGAAATTGAAGTGTTCTCCGACTGGTTTATGAATGTTATAATTCTTGACATCTGATTTGTGTCCATTTATTCTTTTACATAGAGACTGTCCAGTTTGACCAATGTACATGGCAGAGGGGCATTGCTGGCACATGCCAGGGTGGTGTTTATGTGACAATCGCTTATTAGCACCGTAGTGTCCAGAAAGTGGATCTCTTGTGTGGACTGGTCCAGGTTGACAGTGGGATGGAAATAGTTGAAATCATGGTGGAATTCCTCAAGGGCTTTTTTCCATGGGTCCAGATGATGAAGATGTCATCAATGTAGCCCAAGTAGAGTAGGGGCATTAGGGGATGAGAGCTGAGGAAGCGTTGTTCTAAGTCAGCCATAAAAATGTTGGCATACTGTGGGGCCATGCGGGTAGCAGTGAAGGTATACATTGTCCCCAAATGTGAAATAGCTATGGGTGTGGACAAAGTCACAAAATTCAGCCACCGGGTTTTCAACAATTTCCATCCCACCATCAACCTCAGCCTGGACGAGTCCACACAAGAGATCCACTTCCTGGACACTACGGTGCTAATAAGCGATGGTCAGGTAAACGCCACCCTATACCGGAAACCTACTGACCGCTGTACTTACCTACATGCCTGCAGCTGTCACCCAGATCACACCACACGATCCCTGGTCTACAGCCAAGCTCTACGATACAACCGCATTTGCTCCAACCCCTCAGACAGAGACAAACACCTACAAGATCTCTAGCAAGCGTTCGTACAACTACAGTACCCACCTGCTGAAGTGAAGAAACAGATTGACAGAACCAGAAGAGTTCCCAGAAGTCACCTACTACAGGACAGGCCCAACAAAGAAAATAACAGAACGCCACTAGCCGTCACCTTCAGCCCCCAACTAAAACCTCTCCAATGCATCACCAAGGATTTACAACCGATCCTGAAGGATGATCCATCACTCTCACAGATCTTGGGAGACAGGCCAGTCCTTGCTTACAGACAGCCCCCCAACCTGAAACAAATACTCACCAGCAACCACACACCACACAACAAAACCACTAACCCAGGAACCTATCCTTGCAACAAAGCCCGTTGCCAACTGTGTCCACATATCTATTCAGGGGACGCCATCATAGGGCCTAATCACATCAGCCACACTATCAGAGGCTCATTCACCTGCACATCAACCATCTACAATGTGATATATGCCATCATGTGCCAGCAATGCCCCTCTGCCATGTACATTGGTCAAACTGGACAGTCTCTACGTAAAAGAATAAATGGACACAAATCAGACGTCAAGAATTATAACATTCAAAAACCAGTTGGAGAACACTTCAAATCTCTCTGGTCACTCGATTACAGACCTAAAAGTGGCAATTCTTCAACAAAAAAACTTCAAAAACAGACTCCAAGGAGAGACTGCTGAATTGGAATTAATTTGCAAACTGGACACCATTAATTTAGGCTTGAGTAAAGACTGGGAGTGGATGTGTCATTACACAAAGTAAAACACTTTCCCCATGTTTATTTTCCCTCTGCTACTGTTCCTCACACGTTCTTGTCAACTACTGGAAATCGCCCACCTTGATTATCACTACAAAAGGTTTTTTTCTCTCCTGCTAGTAATAGCTCATCTTATGTGATCACTCTTGTTACAGTGTGTATGATAACACATATTGTTTCATGTTCTCTGTGTATATAAAATCTCCCCACTGTATTTTCCACTGCATGCATCCGATGAAGTGAGCTGTAGCTCACGAAAGCTTATGCTCAAATAAATTTGTTCGTCTCTAAGGTGCCACATGTACTCCTTTTCTTTTTGCGGATGCAGACTAACACAGCTGTTACTCTGAAAAATAACGAACTAGGTCCTTGCCCTGAGGAGTTGCCATGTTTTAAGATGTACTTATCTTTGGCTCAATCCCACGTCCGTTGTGCACTCAAATGTCTCATTACTTTTTAGGTGTGCAGGACTGGGCCCCTGTGCTTCGACAGGGTACGTCTAGCCAGTTGCAATCAATAAAGATTTATGCAGAAAATATGCAATTACAAGATAAACTGAATGGTGACTGGAAGAGAGAGAGAGAGGCAAAGACACACACCAAACAGCAAAATATCATATCTGTGACCTGAGTGCAGCCAACTGGTCTGGCGAAACTTGTAGGACCTGAATGTACTAAATTGCAGAGACAAAGAAGTGGTTCATTATACACCACCGATAGATTCAAATAGCAGCTCCCTCTCTTCTCTCCCTGAATCCTGTTTTCAGAATTTACTTTCTTGAATTAATCTAAAAAAATTAAACCCACAAATGGCAAAGTTACTAAAACTTTACTTGGCAATTCTTCCCTCCCCCTTCCCTCATTGCAGTGGTATGGTCTGCAATTGAGCGAGACCTAGAGGTACAGAGTAATGTGACAGCCTCCCAGATTCAGTAGTTCTGGGCTGTGTCCCTTCACTGCTGAGTCAGGATATGCACGTTAATGTTTTCCTCTTTATGTAAACAGGGGCAGATTGAGGTAGAAAGTGAGACAATCTTCAGATTAGCAGCCCTGATTTTACAGGTAAGACTATCCGTGTGTGTGTGTGTGTGTGTGTGTGTGTAGTTGCTTTTTAACATAACCCACAACTTTGAAACTTAGGCATGTTTGCAGCAATTTTTGGTTTATTTGTGCTAGATTTTGCATATCGTTTGTGAATGACTGGGGAGCTGCTATTTTATTCAGGCCCGTTATGGGATTTACTATTCAAACAATTCAGGTTGGAGAGTGGGAAATCAAGTGTAACCTTTTTCTGTAAGAAAGATCATTGAACAGAGTGATTCAATCAGGTCTGTAGATATTACAGCAGGTTTCTAACCTGTTTGTCACTTCCTCCTGTGCCACAAATAATTGACATGTGGCTGTTTTTATGGCACGATTTCAGAGTAGCAGCCGTGTTAGTCTGTATTCACAAAAAGAAAAGGAGTACTAGTGGCACCTTAGAGACTAACCAATTTATTTGAGCAATTAAATTGGTTAGTCTCTAAGGTGCCACTAGTACTCCTTTTCTTTTTATGGCACGATATGTTGGAGGGGAAAGAGAAATAGAGTACTGTAGCTAAAAGTTATTACACTTTTTATATGAATTTTCCTTTAAGAGGACTAAAAAAAAAAATCTAATTGTTTTTCTCTCTGTTTTGGTAAAAATAAATATTTTCCTCACCACTAATTCTATGTCAAATCATTAACCTTGTTCAAGTTATTTTTTGTCATTAGATTTACAATCTGTTTATGGTACAGTCTGTGATTGAACACAATCTCTTTCTTAAAAGTGGCTTAACTAAGTTTTCATTGACAAATGCAAGGTGAGGTGTGTTGGCTTGGTCTGAGTGAATGATTGTTTTCATCCTCAATGAACACGGATCCATCACAACCGCTGACCTTCTTGCAATGTTTGCTTTTCGCAGGATGTAGCTGATTAAAGGAGAGAGAATGGGTCTTTCTGTTTATATCTCTTAAAAGTGACATGGAGTTTGAATGTGAAATTATCAGTGTTTTGGGAGCAGCGTGAACACTGGTGCAGGTGGATAACCTACAACCGCAAACGCTAGGGGCCAAATTCTATTCTCTTACATATATGCATGCAACTCCAGTGATTTCCCTGGGGTAGCATGACTAGAACTGAAGTCAGGATTTAGCCAAAAAGCAAAAATTAACAATGCTGAGAATAGCAAAGTTAATACTCAAGACTTTTGAAGAGATTGTGTTTTAATTTTGTCACTATTTTTCAATTGTAGGAAGCTAAAGGTGACTATTCCAGGTAATAACATTTCTCTTTATAAAATGTATGTGCTTAATGGCTCTCTTTCTTAGGTTTGCTTTGTGTTTTAAGCAATCATTTTACTACCATCAGCAGCATAGAAAAAACCCCAGCCTCGTGCAGTAACTGAAGAAATAAAATCACTGCCATGCCAGACAAAAATCTTTTGAGTTCGTATGGTGAAGTGATTGTTTTGTGAATGGCTTCTGAATTCAAACATTCTGTTCCAAACCATTCTAGTCAAATCACACCATCTAATCTGCGGTTCCTGGAAGGTCGGACGAAATAAATGCTACCACCTTTTCACATTAGAGACCAGGACTGTCCTGTGTCTTGGATCCATGTTTGTGAAGCTCCTAACGACCCTGTCTGTGCATAGTGCTAATGCATGCACAGAAAGATGGAGTTTGTCAGCTGCCCGCTTTGGAGATCAATGCCTTGCTTTCTTTTGCAGCTGCCCTGCAGGGGCCTCACCCTTCATGCACTTGACCTGACAGTTGTATTGTAGCTGGTGTGAGACTCTGAGTGGCTTTTGTTTAGCTACCTAATGCCACATAATCAGACAGCGTTTACCCTTGAAATCACTTTCTACCTGTTAAACTCTGTTCCTTGGGTGCAATAACCGGCTTATGGGAAAAAAAGTAAAAGCTATAGGATCTGAGGGAAGAGACCTTCAATTAGAAACAGCTCACTGAACAAACAGAAATTCAGAAGGTCAGCTTTAGTCATGTTAATGTTTTACTATGGGCTGAATTTCCACATAGGAAGAATGGCTTGTTTACACTTCTGCTACAAGAGCTTTCAAGTGACGCTTTGTAAATGCAGGATACCTTGCCTGCTTGCCTGCAGTAACTAGCAGCTTGCTTCAGATTGCAAAAGCCAACAATAGTTTGCTTCAGCTTTTTGTAATAAAGGGATAGTTGTCAAGTAAGTTTGGGTTCTTTTAACCAGGAACCCTGCTTCTCAAGAGCCTGGTCTGTCTTCCACCAAAATCCGTCACAAAACTCCTATTGACTTTAATGGTTCAAGGTCAGGCCCTTGAGAGGAAAAGATGATCTTGTGGCTAAAATGCTGGACTGGGCCCAGGAGTTCTGTCCCCAGTTATGACCCTCACCAAGTCACTTAAACTCACTGTGCCTCCATTTGCCTATCTGAAAAATGGAGATAATGTATTTCCCTACCTCACCAAAATGCTGTGCAGCTCAACTCATTCCTGTTTGCAAAAATGTGTTGAGATCATCACAGAGAAGATGCTACTGAAATGCAAAATGAATTACTTCAGACCGTTCTTTTTACAGTGCTGCTCCCACCCTGAAAGTGCTTTTTTTGTGCAATGGTGCAGCTGCTATAATTGTTCCAGAATGGGTCATAAAATATGAATTAAAACCAAATGTGTGTGCAAGACTCCTCTAGATGAACACTATAGCCGAAAGAAGGAATTCGGTTCTGCATCTCAAGAGCGATTATTTGGGTCATCAGTGGTAAGGAAACTAGCTCATTTAACGGCATATCTTACAAAAATATTATGAAACAGGTCTTTTGTGCCAAACCCTCCTTTGATAGGAAGAATACATTCCAGACACAGTGTCGTCATTTATGCAAGTGTAGTATTTTAGCAATCTTCCCTGTTATCAGTATCTGGTTTCTGCTGTATTAGTTGTTCATCATCAGTTTGGAACTGGATTTTGAATCAGTTTGGACAGTGGCTGTCATGAGATTTTGTTTACTTGATATTGCGACAATTAACTTTTTAACGTGGGATTTTATTTTCAATGAACCTGCAGTAAATACAGGAATCACCTAGGGATTTGCTTGCAAAGAGCTGAAAATGGGCTACACTTCAGAGAGTTTTAAGTGATTCCTTCTGGGCCTGGTTGATTTTCACACGTCTGGTGGTAAAAGGAATTTTTTGGACCTGCAAATTGAAGCTGTGCATGGAAAAGGAGTTACTAGGTTTGAAGGTTTTTTTAAGTATGGTTCATACCCTGATGTTGATCTGTGCATTGAACCTCCCATTGAAGTCAGTGGGAGTCTTGAATGTGGGCTGACCGTTGGTGATGGCCAAAGGAAAGGGAACAGTCATGGTCCAAGAAATTGTAGCAGCTGCTGAGCAGGAGAGCACTTTTTTGAAAGCTCTTATTTTCAGAGAACATAGTGTTTGCTTACTTGAAAATCCTACTGTAAGGCAAAGCCCCGGACTTTGCAATAAGTCAGCAAAATGGCCTCTGGCATCTGGAAGATAAAGAGCCTCTGATTTTTGTCTTTCTCAGGTTAATTCTAATATGGGCAACAGAATCTTGGCCTGAGGAATTAGGACTAGGATAGGCCTTTATTTAGCTCAGAAAGAGGGATTTCCAGAGGAGGTAAAATTTTCAAAAATGCGTAAGTGACTAAGTCCCATTTTAAAAAGTGACTTAGGAGTCTAAGTCCTATTGACTTTTAAGATTTTCTAAAAATCGAAGTGCCTACGCCACTTTTGAAAACGGGACGTAGTCACTTAGACATTTTTGAAAATTGAACTTGCAGCCAGGTTCTAAAGGTGAGGATGGGAGACTAACTGGATTTTCAGATGTACCTATCTGCATTTTTAGGCACCTAAATACCCTTAAAAACCTGGTCCATAGGCATTTTTGAATAGCTATCCCATATTAATATCTCATATAAGAACAGAAGAACGGCCATACTGGGTCAGACCAAACGTCCATCTAGCCCAATATCCTGACTTCCAACAGTGGCCAGTGCCAGGTGCCCCAGAGGGAATGAGCAGAACAGGTAATCATCAAGTGATCCATCCCCTGTTGCCCATTCCCAGCTTCCAGCAAACAGAGGCTAGGGACACCATCCCTGCCCATCCTGGCTAATAGCTATTGATGGACCTATCCTCCATGAATGTATCTGGTTATTTTTTGAACCCTGTTATAGTCTTGGCCCTCACAACATCCTCTGGCAAGGAGTTCCACAGGTTGACTGTGCGTTGTGTGAAAAAATACTTCCTTTTGTTTGTTTTAAATCTGCTGCCTATTAATTTCATTTGGTGACCCCTAGTTCTTGTGTTATGAGAAGGAGTAAATAACATTTCCTTATTTACTTTCTCCACACCAGTCATGATTTTATAGACCTCTATCATATCCCCCTTTAGTCGTCTCTTTTCCAAGCTGAAAAGTCCCAGTCTGATTAATCTTTCCTAATATGGCAGCCGTTCCATACCCCTAATCTCTTTTGTTGCCCTTTTCTGAACCTTTTCCAAATCCAATATATCTTTTTTGAGATGGGGCGACCACATCTGCACACAGTATTCAAGATGTGGGCGTACCAGGGATTTATATAGAGGCAATATGATATTTTCTGTCTTATGATCTATCCCTTTCTAAATGATTCCCAACATTCTGTTTGCTTTTTTGACTGTCACTGCACATTGAGCAGATGTTTTCAGGGGGCTATCCACAGTGACTCCAAGATCTCTTTCTTGAGTGGTAACCACTAATTTAGACCCCATCATTTTATATGTAGAGTTGGGATTATGTTTTCCAACGTGCATTACTTTGCATTTATCAACATTACATTTCATCTGCCATTTTGTTGCCCAGTCACCCAGTTTTGAGAGATCCTTTTGTAGCTCTTTGCAGTCTGCCTGGGTCTGAACTATTTTGAGTAGTTTTGTATCATCTGCAAATTTTGCCACCTCACTGTTTACCCCTTTTTCCAGATCATTTATGAATATATTGAATGAGGCTGGTCCCAGTACAGACCTGTGGGGTACACCACTATTTACCTCTCTCCATTCTGAAAACTGACCATTTATTCCTACCCTTTGTTTCCTATCTTTTAACTAGTTACCGATCCATGAGAAGACCATCCCTCTTACCTCATGACAGCTTACTTTGCTTCAGAGCCTGTGGTTAGGGAACTTGTCAAAGGCTTTCTGAAAATCTCATTGGAAATCCATCTTTCTGAAGTAGATGAGGTCTGCCCCACTTCTAAGTCACTTTGAAAATTTCACCCATGATATGTTTATTGTACGGAGGATGTAGATGTCAGCACAGCTAGTCATGTGCTTTGGACAGCATCAGCCTCTAATGTGCAGTCTAAAGTTACTGCTGGTTCCAAGAGCAATTATTAGCAGAGGTGGCAACAAAGTGAAAATGATGCAGCTCGCCATTTTTTTTATCAATCGTGAGCAGTGTGGTTCCTTTTCCTGTTTACTAAATTTGTGATCCCGGCCAGGATAATTATACTGAATGTGTTTATCAGGAGATGTGTAAGAATGTGTCATAGCAGTGCGCACTGAACAGCCAATCTATGTATTTAATGGGACATTGTTACGCTTGATATGGCCAGACGCTTGACCTTTGATATAGCTTTACTGTTGTGCTGTTGAGTTACATCTGAGTTTGTTTTCGGTTGTTGCAGATCTTTGGCCCTTTGTTTTCCAGTAATGATAATGTGGTCAGTTTTGTTCAAGGAGAAAAGAAAGATTGTTTTGCTTGTATTCACTTTTCAGTAGTGCCCTGTGCATTGTGATCAATTGCATGCTTGAACTTAAATTGAAATTCCTATAACACATCAAATCTCCTCTCAATCCCTTCCCCCCAAAAAATCCCACCACCAACACATTAATTCTTTAATTCATGACCATGTGTTTGGTGAAACAGAAAAAGCTACAATCCTCAGTTGAGAATGACTTGAACTTGTAAATTCCAATAAGATCTTTTTGTATGTAGTCTATGTTAGATTCACGTTGCAGCTTCTGGCACGGTTAATGGTTAGAAAAATATTTGTGTTGTATTCATTTTTGGGACTCCACTTTTAACTTGATTTTTATAAAGTTAATGTCTCGAGGGGTAATGAAATTAATAGATTGGGTCTTCTGGTAATTATTCATAGTGTAAATATGCAATATATAGCATGATGCTGCTCTGAAAAATTAGCAAACTATCTTTCCCCAGGTTTCAGAGTAGCAGCCGTGTTAGTCTGTATTCGCAAAAAGAAAAGGAGTACTT